AGGCTCATATATAAGTTACACAAACATGTTAATTTATAATCAAAACTGACTGAGTGGGATCTGAGTAACTAAAATATAGGATCTCAGACTTAGTAAATGTTCATCAGTGGGATCACCATGAAAATCTTCTGGAAAAAGTTTATACACAAACCACTTAGCTCTCAAATAAATTAAAAGTTTCTTCTGGGGGCTTTCTAGCTTATACTGCTCTTCTAGACTATACCATATAATTTAACATTTGCTTATATATTATCTTCTAGTCACTCAATGTTGCTTCCCATATGTAAGTTTTGACTTCTCAACTAGATTTTATGGTCCCTGTCTTCTACTTTTATCTTTCCCATGGTGCCAGGCACAAAGGAGGCACTGAATAAATGCATGCTGACCTCACCTGTTAAGTTTTTCAGAGAAGAGGGCCTGGCCTGTGTAACTTGGGTGAAATTTCTATACCAGAGAGGAGCAACTGTTTCCTAGAAAGCCCTTTCTTTTCTCCAGAAGATATGGCTTTTGAAGGTATGGAGAAAGTGCTTTATATCTCCTCTGTAAAACCTGGTTATGTTCTGTTTAAATGTTTTAAAAGTTAAGTTCTTCCATAACTGCAATAGGAAAGATAGAAATAGTTGGGCTAGGATGCTAGGATTATGGATAATTTTCTTCTTAAAATTTTTTTCCCTTTATTCTTTTGTTACATCATTTCAATGAATTTTTTTTTAACAGATTCACTTACCCACCCCAGAGACAACACAAATGCTACTCAGTCATACCACAGCTACTCACAAGAAATGAAATTAATTAAAACCTCCATTTTGGAGACAACCCCATTCCTTAGTCCCTAATTGCAGCCAATTTTCCCCAAATAAAGCAGAGTTGAAAGTCTTACCATCATCAACTCCTAGGATAGAATTGGTATTTGGTAGATTCAAGGACTCTCCACCAAGGCTGGGCTGGGAATTCATAGACACCAGGTTTTTACTGGTTACTGAAGCCTCTTCAAGCAAGCTACTGCCCATTAGTGGCTCAGCTGCACAGAGAATAGGATGTGAGACATACAGCAGTCAAGGCTGTGCCTGGTCCCCATTTTCCTTCACAGGAAGCTGGCCTTTTCTTTCAGAACTAGAAGATAGCCTGTATGTATCTTGGATACCAACTCCTATTTCACCTACTTTTGGGAAGCAAGAATAAACCTAGAAAGGAAGAGTTTAGCTTCACAGATAAATATCCTTGCTTGTGATCAGCATCTGGATAATTAGCATATCAAACAGGATGGATGCATCCTTAGAAAGGAATATTTGGAATGAAATAATTAAGGAAATATATGAAAAAGGAATAATAATAAAAGTGAGTTATCAAATATAAGTTAGGGTAAAAAAAAGAGTCATGACTGGTAAGTAAAAAATGATTAAACTCTTGTCATACAGAAATCTTTAATACAGTGATACTCAAATGCTGGTTCATGGATCAGCACTAGTTACCATCAAACTTACTAGGGAAACTTTTAAAACTACAGATTCTGGGATCTCACTCCCAAATAATCTCATTTATCAGACTGTTTTGTTGTATTTGGGGGGAGGGGTGGACAAGCAATATGAATATATATGTTTTAAAAGCTTGCAGATGATTTTACTGTATGGCTACATTTGGAAACCACTAGTCCATCAAATGGGACCAGGTCTCTCCACCCAAAGAAGAATCAGAAAATTTCCAGACAACCAGACAGGACAGTTATTTGGCTTCTTGAACCCAGAAGATCTGTCCCTCCACTATACCCTCTCTCCTCACCAGTTTGTTCCTGCTCTTGACTCCCAGCTGCTCCCATCTGCAAGTGATGCTTTCTCATGTGCACATTCCTGCTCCCACTCTGAGAGAAAGTCTTCCCACAGACTTGACACTGATGGGGCTTCTCTCCTGAAACAGGGACCAGGTTAAGACGGGAGCCAAAAAGACAGGGTACATTTCTGAGAGCAAGAGAATGGACTCAAGATCTAGATGGAGAGGCCCAGAGAATGTTACACTAAACATAAGAGGCTGCTCCTTCTCCCATTCTCTACCTTCCCTCTGCCTCTCAACCTTCAGTACGTGGGGGAAGGCACGAAGAGTATACCAGGAGGGCTTAGCATGCTCACTGCTCCCAGGCCCCAGTCCTTTCCAGACCCACTGTACTGCTGCCTTCACAAAACAACCTCTTTGGTATAAGATCATGGCAGCCACACAGAATATTTACTTGCCTTTTCAGAAACAGTCTTCCATGGACCTCTAGAACATGTACCACCCTCAAGTATTCCAACCCTAGGTTCATACTAGACCCTTTCCTCTTTCCTGCCACCACTCTCACAGTCTTCAACATTTACACTGGTGGTTCTTCTACACAATGATCTAAACTATGCTCTATGTCCTCAAGTCCAAAACTCCCAGTCTCCATTCCACCTACTCAGACAACCACACTTAAAGCAGGGGTCAAAAACTCACATCTACAGGGGACTAGTAGGTAGCAAAAGCACATGAAATGGCCAGAAAATTTCCAGAAAAGGCAAATTGACAAACACAGAAAGTTGACCAGTGGTTGCCTGGGTCTGGGGATGGGAGCAGGAACTGACAGAAAAGGAGCACACAGGAACTTTTTGATGTGATAAAAAGTGTTCTAAAACTGGTTTGTGGTGATAAATGTACTATTCTATATATTCTATATATTTTCTAAAAATCACTGATTTGTACACTTACAAGGGGTGAATTTTAAGGTATGTGCATTATAAGTCAAAAAAGCTGTTTAAAAAAACTGCAGTTGATTGAAATACAGTGAATATATAGAAACCCATGAATTCAAACTAATACTAACGAGAGAAAAAGCAAAGAAAATGCCATTTATCTGACACTAGTAGAAGTAACCAAGCACCAATTTCTCATTCTGAAAACTCACAATTAAAAGAAAAGAATTACACATTTATCCCGCTTTTCCCATGCAAATTAGTCCTAGTTGATAGAGAACTACTGTACAGAAGAATTCCAGCTAAGAAATACGAACAAAATAATAGAATTAGAAAAACCACCATTTACAATCCTAATGAAATAACAGATTCAGGCATCATTCAAAGATGAAACCGTAAGGCAAAAGGATGCTAGGGAACTTTACAATGTGGGGATCAGGGTGTTACCAACTGAACCCACTGATGAACTTCGACAACCAAGCACTGTGTGCCCCCTGATATGATACAAAATGAAGCACAGAGAACCACCTATAACATATCCTTGGCAAAATCTTTGAACCTCTGAAGCTTTTAAGGCTTACTTCCATTTATAGGAAATATAGGGAACAAGTTAAATGACATAAAAGGAAGTAAACCAACAAATCCAGAATGTGAGATGTTCTATAGGACCAGACCTGACTGTTGTGCAACGTCTATGGCATGAAAAAAAAATTGGGTGTAGACAGATCTAGATTCAAGAAGACTTGCTAACCAAATGTAATATTAGACCTTGCTGGATCCTGCTTTAAACAAACCCACCTTAAAAGACATTTTTGAGACAACTGGAAAAAACTGAACATGGACTAGGTATGAGAGAAAACCAAGGAATTATTGTTAATTTTGATAGGTATGATAATAAGCAGTTACATAAGAAAATGTCTTTATTTTCTCTACTTTTATGTATGTTTGAAATAATTTTTTTCATGAGATTTTTTTTTTTGCAGGGAAAGATTCGCCCTGAGCTAACATTTGTTGCCAATCTTCCTCTCTCTCTCTCTCTTCTTTTCTTCTCCCCAAAGCCCCCCAGTACATCGTTGTATATCCTAGTTGTAAGTCCTTTTTTTTTTAGTTCTCTATGTGAGCCACCACCACAGCATGGCAACTGACAGACGGGTGGTGTGGTTCTGCAACCATGAAGCAAACCTGGGCCACCGAGGCGGTGAGCACCGAACTTTAACCACTAGACCATCAGGGGTGGCCTTGAAATAATTTTACATCATGAAATAAAGTAAAATAAAATTAAAATACCCTATAAGGCAAGCAAAACACATCAGTTTGCCACCTCTGCTTAGAACCTGTCATGATAAAAACTGCTCCATCTCTAGGATCTCAACTCTGAAATTCACATCCCTGACTGATTACATCTCTCCAACTCACTCACTCCCTCTGAATTGTTTTGCTGACCTCATCATAAATAACTTCCAGTTCTTTCTCTCCGCTCCTCCTGTTCTGGTTTCCTTTTGCTTTCCACAGCTAGCCATTTGAATAATTACCTGATTCCATTCTAGAATGTCTCTCCACTTTGAGTTCACTTCTGCCTTTGCAAGTCTCTGCTCTGAATAACCTCCATGGCCCATATTTGATGTAACGTATAAAGCACCCAGCACAGTGCCAAATCAATTTGCTGATCTCCTCAGAACAAGGTCTAGATTAGAAAGCAGTTCAATGGCTCAGCTGAAAATAATAACAATTAGATTTTTTCCCCTTGACTATATGACCCTTTGAATACAATTATCAAGGGCTTTGATTTCTGATTCTGTCATAATGAGGAGGAAAATGTATGGTGAACAGTTTGTTTCTTTTTAGATTTCTTTATACCATCCCCCACCCTTTTATCCTTTTGGCTCTCCACCTTCTCTGAAATCTATGAATGGCACAGGTTCTAGTACCTGAGTGAACCACCAAATGTTTTCGGAGGCTAGAATACTCAGCAAAGGAACGGCCACATCCTTGAGCTTCACAAAGGAAAGGCTTCTCTCCTAGAGACAGAAAATGAGACAAAGACTCAATCTTCTGATGACTGACTATTACTCTCTTTTTCCATCAATCTTATCCTGTTTCCAGTGACTTACTCTTGATTTCTTGAATTCGTGCTATGTAATCTCAACTGGGCTATCTAACAAGTGTTGCCTCTCAACAATCTCCACATACACAGCCCACCAGACTGCCCCTTTCTTTAGAGTAGCTGCCTCTGAGCATTATACTTCCTTCCCCCTCCTGGCTCAAGGGCTGACTCCCAGCTGTACTGACCTACCATCCCTTGTGAGGATAACAAGATTAACAGTATATATGTACCTTACATCAGGATTTGTACCTTACATCAATTCTCTTCAAGATTCAGTTTCTAGATCTATTTAAGAGTACAGATTGTTAAAGGTTATAAAATAGGCCTTACATAGTCCCATTTTATAAAGCAAACAAATAAACAGAGATGTTTGGTCAGAGGTACACAGAAAAATCTGTAACAGTATATTAAAAGTAGTTACATCCTGATAGTGGTATTATGGATGATTTATTTTCTCCTTTTGCTTTTCCGTAATTTTCATTCCCTACAATATTACTTTGTTATTTTAAAAATCAAAGATAAATGGTGAAAACTGAATAAGGTCTGTAGACTGACAGTACTGTTAACTTTCTGGTTTTGATAGTGTACTATGGCTACATAAGATGTCAGTTTTGGGGAAGGCTGGGTGAAGCGCACACAGAACTCTTTGTACTCTTTGCAACTTCTTGTGAGTCTATAATTACTTCAAAATAAGAAGTGAAAAAAATCAGAGATGAGGTCTCTATTCTCCAAGGGTCACAGACTAATGTGAGAGAGACATATGTATTCATAATAACTTTAATATAAATTCCTGTACAAAAAAGTGCTATAAGCATTTAGAAAATGAGGAATTCTGATTGTGATAATTTTTTAAGGAAGCTGAATTTAGGCTGATCTTAAAAGATGACAAGGATGGAAGGGAATTTCAGGCACAAGGAATAGTGTGAGCACAACCTTGAAACTGAGAATGCCCAGGGCAAGTTCAAAAAACGGCAAGTGTGAAGTAATGAGAAATACATAATATTGGTCTCGGCCCCTGGTTCCTGACACAGAACTCCTAAAACCCTTGTAAACAGGGGTCCTAGGAGAATTTTTTGTTCTAACATTTAGTCTTTGATCCCAGTTCCTTATGCAGAGCTCCTAAAATCCTTGTAATTTCTTAAGTGATAAGAGCACTAGAATATTGGTTTTTGACCCTTCCTGACACAGTGTTCCTAAATCCCTAGGAATTTCCTGGGTGATAACAGTGTCTTTTGTTCTAATAAGGTGACTCTTGGTGGGCTCATGGATGGGGGCTGCTCATGAGAAAGATCAAGACATGATCAGACGCTTGGGATATTCAGCCCCACCTCCCATTCTCCAAGGAGGGGAGAGAGGCTGAAAATGAAGTTAATGATCAATCATGCCTACATGATGAAGCCTCCATAAAAATCCCAAAAGTACAGGGTTCAGAGAACTTCAGGGTTGGTGAACACATCTATATGTCGGGAGCGTAGAACACCCAAACTCCCCAGGGACAGAAGCTCCTGTGCTTTGGACCCTTCCAGACCTCACCCTATATATCTCTTCGTCTGGCTGTTCATCTGTCTCCTTTATCATATCCTTTATTATATAATAAACTGGTAAACATAAGTAAGTGTTTCCCTGAGTTCTGTGAGCTGTTCTAGCAAATAATTGAATCCAAAGGGGAAGATCATGGGAACGTCCAATTTGTAGCCAAGTCAGACACAAGTTGTGAGTAACCTGGGGACCTAATACTTGCTATTGGCATCTGAAGTGGAAGGAAGTCTCGTGGGACTGAGCCCTTAACCTGTGATATCTGACGCTATCTCCAGGTAGAGAGTGTCAGAATTGAGTTAGATTGGAGGACACTCAGCCGGTGTCGTAGAGAATTGCTTTGTGTGGGGAAAAACCCCACACATCTGGTGTCAGAAGTGTGAGTGTGGCAGTCGTGCAAGAGTAAAGGAGAAACACAGGAAGAGTGAGTTTTTCCTACTTAGCAAGTAAGTCTGGCATGGTGACAACATGGGAGCTGGGCCTTGAAGTAGGGTGCAGCACTGCTCTAGATTATGCTGTTCTTTCAGACTGTACCACACCATTTAATGTTTGTGACTGTCCAGTGTCCTGTAACTTTTTTGAAAGCTTATTTGTATACTCACACCTATCCCAGAATGCTAGGCACTCAAAAACTTGCCAAATGAATGAACAATATACTCACAAATGATAGAATAAATGTTAGAAAAACAGAAAATTCCAGTAATAAATAAGGTTAAATGTTTAACGAGATGAACTAAAGAACCTTAGAGAATTTAGGAAAAGATTCATCAGAATCTAATGGCATGAATGTCTGCATCAACCTGGTTTAGGCGAGACGGCCTTCCTATATGGAAACTGAGAGGATGGTGATTTCGCAGAGAAAAAGGACACGAGAGAAGAGGAGATTCAAGAGGCAATGCTGCATAATGGTTAAGAGCATGAGTCAGTTAACCTTGAGTTCGAATCTTGGCACTACCAATTATTAGTATGGGGAAGATATTTAACCTGAGAATCAGCTTTTTATCTATAAAATTAACATAATACAATCTCAAAACATTATTCTGAGGATTAAATGAGATAATACAAGTTAAATATATTCAGCATAGTGCCTGGCACACAGTAAGCCCTCATGATAAGCCACTAAAATTGGCAGCTTTAATTACTATCATTACTACTAATAAACATCTGAGGTCAGTTCTGACATCTGAGATAAATTGAGTTGTCAGTATTTGAAAACAAAATCTTTGGAAAAGTTTTAGAATCAGATCAAAATTCAAATCCTAGCTCTGCCACTTCTTAGCTATGTAATGTTGGGCAAGTTACTTAACTCCTAATCTGTTTCTTCATCAAGAAATATAGTATCTACTGCATAAAGTTACCTTGAAGATTAAATGACATAATTAATGTATATGTGCTTGGTACATATTAAATTGCCTCAATAAATGCTAACTTTTATTATTATATTAATTATTGAGACTCAGATCTGTGAGGCATCCAGGGAGAAATGATTAAATTGAGGTTGTGAGACTGTGACGAGAGAGCAAATTGAGTGAAATCAGAGCAACCTGAAATTCTGATATTGGTGAACAATCAGAAGATTAATAAGGGAAAGCTAGCAAGAGTTAAAATGAAGGAGAAAATCAGGTCATACTCTGAAGTAAAGGAAAGCATTTTAAGATGTTCACTTGTATCAAATGCTACAAAGATGACGAGCAGCACAAGGATGAAGAGGTTACTGAATTTAACAATAAGACATGGTGAACTCTACTTCTTTCCTTATCTATTCAGCTAGATGTTTTTCTTGTTCTTTCATTCAAACTGCTTTTTTGGAGTAAGTATAGTTTACTCTCTCAGGAAAATGCTGAGAACAGAGCTATTCTGCCCTAAAACATATTCAGTGGTAATGTCAATCTAGAGGGAATCATAGGGACATGCCTGGAACAAATGTGGCTTAAGCTTGGGTTTCACTTTTTAAATGCCCTTTAATCGTACCTGCTGTCATTTTAGCAACACAAGAATAAACAATGAAGAGACAGAGAAAGTGGGTGAGAATAAACTACAAATCCTAAGATAGTCTGGGTTCAGTGATTAAGCTCTGGCAAGAGACTTAGCAAATGCTAGGCCAAGTGGTTTGGAAAGTCACCTTTAAACTCTTAGACTAAGAGTCAGAGTATCTTTATTTTGCTCCTTTGATATTAACATTCTGTTTGACCCAGAACAAGTCACTTCTCCATTCTGTTCCTCATGTTGTGAGGCTCTAACAGGAAAGCAAACTCCTCAACGTCAGGGATTATATCTTAGCTTTTGTATTTCCCCCCAACCTGACCCCATTTAGTGCCATGGTTTGTGTAACGCAATAAATGTTACTGACCAAAACTATAACTGTGTAATGTTCAAAGATATTTGGAAACAGACTTATTTTGTCCATATCTCATCATATCATTGTTATCAGAGGAGGTCTTATCTCCCTTCCTACACTTTAGGCTCCTGGAGGCAGAAATCAACACTGTGCTTTCCTCACATACAGGTGAAAGCTCAATGTTATTAAATAAACCAGAGTGCCATGAGGCATTTGAAAAAAAAGAAATTCCATCTTCAGAGTTCTAGCAACAACCCTAGACCTTCATTTCTATTTCCACCTCAGAGCCTTTCCTAAGGATAAGCATTATGCCAAGTAGTAGACTGCCTGCGGAAATGTTGGGGTTGCACACACCTGTGTGGATGCGCAAGTGGTTCTTCAGGTTTCCAGCTGTAGTGAACTGCTTACCACAGCTAGACTCGGGGCACATAAAGGGCTTCTCCCCATTGTGGGTCCTCATGTGGACCTTCAGCCTCTGCAGCACATAGAAGCTTTTCCCACAACCTTCTGCAGGGCAGATGAAGGAGCGATCATTTCTGCAAAAAAAAGAAAAAAATCACATAAGCAATAATACCTGAAAATGCTCTTTGCTAGAGAGGACAAGTCAAATCTCCTATTGACTCTCAAAACAGACAGTAAATCCCAAACCTGGATATATCAGAATCCCCTAAAGTTTGCTAAAACTACAGATGCCCAGGCCCTACCTCTCGAAATACTGATTTCATAGGTTTAGGGTAGGGCCTCCAGCTTATGTGTTATTTTTAAGTTCTCCAAAAAATTGAGTTTTATAATGACATTTGAGAAACTCTTGCTCTAAGACATTTAGGCGCCAAATGTCTTCTTATATATTTGTAAAGAACGAGGAAAACGAGACAACGCAAATCTTTCTATTAAAAAACAAAAGACAAGTGAGCTGGAGTCTCTGCTTTCTTCTGTCAACTGGCGGGACAAGATCTTCTGGAAGTATCAGTGTTCCTGAGTTCCAAGAATAGAATCTCAGATATGCTCACCGATGAGTTTTAAGGTGGTACTTGAAGTGAGCTGGCCACACAAATGTCCGGTCACAGCCTTCAACTGTACACTTGAGCTTCTTTTCCACTTGAGGAAGGGACCCAGAATCTTTGGGTTGCCCATCACCAGAACCAAGGTGGACATTTTCTCCTGTAACAGAGTCACATATTTGTAATCCATGGAAGGACCCAGCTCAGATACTTTGGTTCAAACAATAAAGCTCCTTTATTTCACTTCTAGTGATCATTAATCAGATCTCTATCTTCATCTTCCCCAGCTCTCTTTGTATTCATTTAACAACAGAAGTGAGAGTGCTCTACATCCTCATCCTCTTACTTGAGAGAACTATCAAAAGCCATCATGCTTTGTTTCACACAACTAGGCCTCTTTGGTAAATGTAAGAAATGTCCAAAATGGTTTCATATCAAAAAGCAGAGTCAAACCTATTTTACATTACACAGACTGGTGGGGAAGTGGGTATATCAACACCCAGAGTGCTATAGAAGATGACTAATGTCATCTTTTACCTAAAGTTCTAGATAATAAAAACTTGTATTTTAAGGAGGAACAGCCACTCTGGCTTAGTTGTGGGCTTATGGTAGTAATTTCTTTTGTAGATGGCCATTCTTAGATTTCTATCTTCTGAAGTCAATTTGGCTGTTTCTATCATTCTAGAGAATACGAATCACCTTCCAATGTCCTGTACCACTCCTCTTTAGTTATAAAAGATTTAAGAATGCAAAAACTCAGCTGATTTTAAAATTTCTAACCACATTATAAAAAGTTAGAGATAATATCTATGGAAGTTTTTTGTTCAATAGAATAAAAGGAGGGGAGGAGAAGAGCACACAGTGCAGTGCCTCCCTTAAATGTAAATGAAATCAATTAGTTAAAACTTTACATAAATTCCAGAATAGCACGTGGTGCTCCATTTCTTTTATTTTCTTCAAGACACAATTGGACATCATAGAGAAAAACATTCACGACCTCTTAAATTCTGCTATAAGCATATGGAGTTTATTTTTCCACTATACATACCCTGGGGAGAAGATTTATATTTCCAAATTTCCCTCTCAAAAGCCAAGAGTAGGATAATATATGTTGGATCCTTCACACTCCCTGGAAGCGGACAGTTCATCAAAGGCAGTTTCTGTCCTATTAATCTTATTCTCTTCCTGCCCTACAATCTCCTTGCTGTGCCTCACCAAATGCTACTCATAAAACTAAATGCTCCAAGGTCAGAGTAGAACCTAAGATGCCTTCTGCTAATTATTATTAATTAACTTTTTAAATAAAATATTATCCCACATAGCTTTATTTATTTGAAAAAGTAATACCTACACATAGGTAAATTTTAAACAGCACAAAAGTGCATATACCATAAAGGAAATTTCCCACCAACTCCAGAGCTCCAGCCAATTAATTTCTAATGAAAGGCTATAGAAACCCCATGTTAATCCAGAGATTTAAACCCGTGACAGTTGAGGCGTTGTGCATTCAATTTTGTAGATACAAAGAGAACATGATATAATCATAAAACAGAAAAAAATCCCTCAGAAAAAAGTGAGTTGCCTTGTATTTGAGTCCTTATAAAATCACTCAGTTATAGGAGTGCTCCCTCAATTACTTTGTTTTTTAAAACAACGCACTGTTTGCAGAAGACAGATTAGCTTAAAATGACCTGAACAAATAATAGTGTTGGATATTTAGAGGTCATCTGATAAACTGGTCTCCCACCCCCCAAAAAAGAAAGACACAAAGAAATTCAATACCTCATATTGCGCATGTTGGCTAATACTGTAAACACTTTAAAGATCCTACAGTTATGTGAGTAGGTCTTTGCGTTTGGGATAAAACTTCCATTGAGAGTATCATATAGCAGGGGTCCATAAACTTTTTCTGTAAAGGGCCAGATAGTAAATATTTTTGGCTTTGAGGGTCATATAATCTCTGTCACAACTCACTCAACTGTGCCATAGTAGTAGCCATAGACGATTTGTGTGGACATGCCTGTGTTCCAATAAAATTTTACAAAACCAGGTGGTTATTTGGCCCATAGGCCTTTGCTGACCCCTAATATAGAGCATCATATACAAAATTAAAATATTTCTGTATTTCAATAAGATGGAAGTGAAGATGATGTGCTCTGAAAAACAGTGCTAGAGGACTCACAAAGTGGCTTCAGTAATAACAAAGATATTTATGTTAAAAACGCATTACAATATTGAATAAAATCATTTCATTACATGTTAGCAGGTGAAAAGCAACATTAAATTAACACATTTCATGGTTTAAAATGTGTGTAACCAAAATAATAAAATTTTCAAATAGCAACTTAATAGTGTTTAATTTTATCTACATGCCTAAAGGTTTATTTACCTAAGCCCCAAAAAAGGCTTTTAGGGAATCATCTCACTGACAAAATCAAAGCCTGTCATATTTTGGGGCTCACTTTACATTCAAGCATACAAGGTAGTTGTTAAGTAGTAAGGTAACATATTTTGGGAGTAATAAAAACATCCACACAATGCATTGCTGATTATAAAGCATTTCCCAGATAGAATCTTATTTAATCGCTATTAACAATCCAATCAGATAAGCTACCTGATCTCTATGTTCTGAATATGAGAAAACTGAAGCTAAGGGAGGTTCAATTCCCCAGGCAGGGAACTAGTAAATGATGGCACCAGGTCTGGATCCCAGGTCCCCAGATTCCAAATCCCAAGTTCCCTCCCTACACTGCTTCTCACTGGCAAATATAGTAATACTTCCTCAATGCAACAAGGAGATGCTGACGGTGTCAGGATCCAGAGATTAGAAAAAGCATCTCAGGAAGAATCTAAACTTTAGAATCCTCCCAAAATGATAAAATTGGCCATTCTAAGCAGCACTCTGATAGTCACAAACAGAACTAATTATTTTGAAAACTAACAGAAGTTTGGAGTTCTCTGTGCAGGAAAGATTTAGGTTAATGTTTCTAAAACTAGAATATTCTGAAATATTCTCAGGGATCCTTGACTTCTGTATGAGGAATTTTTTAATTTTTAATTTTCATTTGCATGGTAATCAAAAAATAATCATAAACATATTCTAGATCATCTACATGAGCTCCAAACAGCTACGTACTAATATGACAGTTCAGTGCTTAAGCGTGGTTTGTGATAACGATAGTTATGTACCTTCTTACCTTAATAATTTGTTGTATTACCTCAATTGTCACAAGTTAATGAGAAAATGCAGAGGCAAATCTAAAACAAAAAGTATCATGGCATGCTACAAAAGGAAAGTTTTTACAGTGGTTTAGGAGTGGTTTAGGAGGGGTGTGAATGTGGTCCTCAAACTTTAATATGCATCAGAACCACCAAGAGGGCTCACTACAAGACCGCAAGTTTCTGATTCAGTAGGATGAGGCCTGAGAATTTGCATTTCTAAGTTTCCAGGTGATGCAGGTGATCCACACTTTGAAAATTACTGGATAGAAGAAAGTGGCACAGAGATTTGCAGACATGCTGAAATCAAAAGAAAACAGCACTACAGCTTGTTTGGATATTTATAGGTCATCTGATGAACTGGTTCCAATAAAAAAAAAGCAGCACTATGGTAGCTGCTAATCACTAAATTGCCAAGAGCAGTAATTCAGTTTCAGCAAAACATCATCACCTGCCACACTGACTCAATATTAATTTTATTTTCATTGGTTTTGTAGTTTTATTTCTATTAATTGATAAAATGGTTTTGATTTCATAATGGTATGACAGCTCTAACTATAAGGAACATTACAATAAAAATAATTCAAGATAACACCAGGATCTGTGAAAAATTTTCTTCCTTTAAAAGGGGCTCTGTACATTATTTAAGCTGACAATTGAGAATTGTAGTTGATTCTGAACACAATTCTGGCGTGGCTGAGTTATTTCACAGAAAATAAGACAAATAATTTACACATTTCTAACCTTCTGCTCTCACCAATAAAATAACTTGGATTATATACAACTCAAAACATAGCCATTTCATTACCAAAATCTTTGCACAGAATACTGGAAAGGAAGACGCCACAGAGGTCTCACCATTGCTGCTAGTTTTTGCATTCTTTGCCAGTTGTGCACGAGTAGCAGCAATCAAACTGTCATGGGCCAACTCCTGAACCCGGAGGAACCATGGAATGCTACTGTCCGTGCTCTCACTGGAGAGGAAATCATTCCCTGAATCCTCCGCCTCATCTTGTACAAATACTAAGTGCTCGGCTGAAGAGCCCAGACCTGGAAGAAACAAGAGAGTATAGGGAAGTTAGCCATCAAGTAATCCTTTTATCAGCCCTGGTTCAGAAACTCTCCGTGTCCTGAATCTGCTATTCCAGATCTTCACCTCTCAGCTCAAGCTTCTATTCTCATACAAGATTAGGCTAGGACATCTTTCCACACTTAGCCTAAACATTGTCTTTATCTTACCCTTTCTTGTATCAGAAGCAAAGCTGTCCTTCCTGGCAATCAGGCTAACCTTCACCTCTCCTCTCCCAATCCCACCCTTCAGCTATCTCCTCTCTCCCATCTGCAACCCACTCCTCTCTAGTGGCCACCTTACAACCTTTAACTCTGTCCAAGCTCAAGTCTCTCTCATATTTACTTTTAAAAAAAGAATAGAAAATCCCCAGTATTTCTCTAGCTATCATCTTCTCTCCTGTTCCTTCCAAGTCAAGTTTCTCGAACAAGTGTAACTTCTAACTTGCATATCCACTTTCTACCTTGCCATCCACTCACCATCTCTTTAACCCTGGCCTCCACCTCTACTAGCTTAATAACAATTGCTCTTGCTAAGGTCACCAGACCTACACTTCCCAGTCCTCATCTCATTAGCCCATCCTGTGGTATCTCACACGATTTAGTACCTTTTCTTCTTTAAAACTTTTTCCTCCTTTGGCTTCTCCCATACCACTCTCATTCTGTTTTCTTTATCCCTCTCTAGAAGCTCCTTCCTCTTCTTCTCTTACCCTCTTAAATGTCTTTTTCAGGGTCCCAGATTTACCTTCTTTTCTGTTTATGCTCCAGACTACTGCTGAATCAAAGAATCCATGCTCATTGTTTCATACATTTCCTGAATGCTGATTAAGCACCAAAACTACTTATTTCACACCAGACTTCTCTAGAACTCTGGATTTCTGTTTCTAACTCTAAAGGACACCTCCTCCTGAATGTCCCTTGGATTTCTCAACATCAAAAGGTACAAACCAGAACTAATCATCCTCCCCCAAGGCCTGCTCTTCCTGTGCTATCTTGGTGAATGGTGCTACCCAATTTTCCAAACGAGACTTTTGAGGGGCCCGGTGGCATAGCGGTTAAGTGCATGGGCTCCGCTTCGGCAACCCGGGGTTTCGCAGGTTCAGATCCCGGGCGTGCACCAACGCACCGCTTGTCAAGCCATGCTGCAGCAGCATCCCATATAAAGTAGAGGAAGATGGGCACGGATGTTAGCCCAGGGCCAATATGCCTCAGCAAAAAGAGGAGGATTGGCATCGGATGTTAACTCAGGGCTAATCTTCCTCACAAAAAAAAAAAAAAAAGAAAGAAAGAAAGAAACTTTTGAGCCATCCTAGAGTCTGCCCTCTCTCTATACATTCAATTGATCACCAGGTTACACTAATTCTCCAAAATAATAAAATAATAAGGCTTCTTTCCACTTTAAGTATGACTAAATTAAGTATGCCCCATCCCCAATTTTTTTCTTAAGTGTGAGCAGAGTTCAGAAAAGGATAAAGAATACCTGCTCTTGTCAGGTTAAGAAGAATAAAAGACGTGCTATCACTTGGCTGTAGATCTTGCAACAAACTAGGAGGTTCTGGAGTGGACAAAAACTCCGAGGACTTCTGTACAGTCTGAGCCCTCGTCTCCTCTCCGTCTGGGCCCACATTCACCTGAAGGCTTCTCAGCACAGCCGAGGAAGGGACCTCCTTGGAGGAGTTAGTATGATTTGGAGTATCATCTAGTAAAGGGAAATACCACAGCTTTATATAGCACCTATCTCCATGGAGCTCACCATTTTGATACATAGCACCTAATACCCTTGTAACATCCTTTAGTATCTAAGACCCTTATAGGAGCAGGCAGCATTTTCATTTTACAAATACGAAATGTGCCTCAGAAAAAAACAGAGAGATAGCTTTGAGTTCTAAAGGGAGTCAGCCAAAATGTGAGGGACAGATTCCTCTGACACTTGGCAGTAACTTATAACCAACCATCCACATTTGGATATTACAGATCTTTGTCCTTTTACAGCCACAAATCAGTACTTTTCCCTTGAAAAATATAGTTATACAATGAATACTAACTCAAAAAAGGACCTAAACTTTAAATTATTTTTCTTGGGGAAAGATCCCTCTCTCTAATTTTTATAACATGTATGTGACAATTCTAGTGAGTCATTAGGATAAAAAACACAGCATGGGAAATAAATGAAATTTTATAGAATCATCAATATGTGTCATTATAGTTCTGGATTTACCCTGGATGTAAAGAAATAATTCAGCACACTTACTGTCTACAACTTTATTCTAAAGGAGGGGATGAATTTCCAAAGGTTTTGGCTGCAATACAATAAGGAACTGCACTACAGCACTGAAGCATCCAATGTTTTCAGGGGTTTCATTCACCTTTATAAAAGGCAGGTAACATTTTTCTCTCCTTCCTCTAAGGAGATAACAGATAAGATTATAGGAATAAAAGTGGAAGCCTAGGGACAGTACTGCCATTTCAAAGCCTAACGAAGTCACACAACAATGTGAATGTACCTAATGCCACAGAACTTGTTAAAATAAATGGTAAATTTAACTGGTTAAAATGGTAAATTTTATGTTATGTATCTTTTACCACAAAAAATTTTTTTAAATAAAGCTCATAGCAGCACTGTCTGTCATAGTACGACACTGGAAAATAACTATATATTCATCAACAGCGGCATGGATAAAGAAGTTGGTGTACACCTATAACAGAATACTAGACAACAATGAAACCAAATAAACCACAGCCACACACAGAAGGATGAATCTCACAAATACAGAGTAAAAGAAGAAAGGTACAACAATATACATTCATATGATTCCATTCATTTAAAGTCCAAAAACAGCTAAAATTAAACTGCACTGCTTAGACCTGAGTGGTTAAATTTGGAAAACAAAGAAAAAACTGTCACAAAAGCGAGGACAGTGGTGACCTAGAGAAGAACAGAGGTTGTCTTTATCAGGGAGGAGCCCTTGGAGGGCTTGGGAGCTGGTAATGCTCTACTTCTTAATTGGGTGGTAGGTATCTCCTTTATAATAATTCTTCAAAATGTATATCCACATGGGTTTGTACTTTTCTATATCTATCATATATCCCCACTCAAAAGAAAATATGCAAGCCACGCACGGAATGATACACATCTATTTAGAAGGGAGGGACATGAGGTTAGGGAGGTATGTGTAGATACATTTGTGTTTGTAATATTATGTTTCATGAGCTGGGAGGTGAGTACATGGGTTTTCATTTACTCTTATCTATAACTGGTTGTCTAAAATATTTTAAATCAAAATTACATCTAAAAGAAGGTAACGTAGAAAAGAAGATGGATGTTTCTGTTCCTGTTTTAATTTCCTTTGTTACTGTTAAAATATTTATTCAATAAATTAATATTGAGAGAGAAAATTCAGGGGGAAAAAAGCCTAATGAAGATCAAAATTTATTAACAACCGGAAATTTTCACTTATTGAAAATCCGTAAGTATTTGGAAAGACTCCTAACATACTAACAGAAAAATAGGAGTTGAGAGACAGAAGATGTGGAAAAGCTAGGAGCTAGATGGGGAAACCTTAAATCAACGTTAGTTGGTTGAATATATCTGCCCTTCTTGAATTTTTAAACATTGAAAAAGATTTTAAAGTCACTTCAAAAATCAAATAAAAAAGAACATTAGAAGATAGTAACCAGAAAACTCTATAAGAAACAAATATGTTGTCACCAACAGGTTAATACTGACCCTCCCCTTATTTAACATTAATCTTCCAAATTTCAAATCAAGAATCAGAAAACAAAGAATTCATTGCATCCAAAATAATGTTCTCACTAATAGTCAAGTGATAGACTCTCCCTCTTCCCATCCAAAGCTAATTTCAATACCCTTGCTCAGCATTCTACTTCTTCCTACCTCTCCTAGAGCCTCCTCATCAATTACCCACTTTTTCCATCTGCAGCTTTTCTAATTGGCTCTTTCCTCTTAGCATAAAACCACCCTTAAATATTTCAGATCTTAAAAAAAAATTCTTCCACCTACCTTCCGTTCTTCTCTTTTTCCTTCCCACAGCAGGAGAGCCTTTACAAAGTATAGTTACTTCCTCAACAATAGTTACCTTGCATTGATACCTCAACCCACTGCAGCCTGGCTTTACATCCCATCTCCTAGAACAGGTCCTGCCAAGGTCAACAAAGGCCTTGTTGACCCTATCTCACTGGGTCTCTTCGGAGCATGTGACACATTGACTATTCCCTTGGGTTCCATGCCTGCACTCTGCCGCTATTCCTCCTACTAGAGTACTCTAGCCTTTCCTTCTTCCCTCCTCACAGGCTCTCCTGCCTTACCCTGTACCTTGAATAAGGAGTTCCACAGAGTTCTGCCTTGGCCTTCTTTTCTTCTCACTCTCACATTCTAAGGGTGATCATATCCATTACTAAGACTTAAACTACCAACGCATTTATGACTCCCAAGTTGCTTTTTCTCCATGATTCCTAATTTCTACAGTTTCCACCACTTCAGTTATAAAGTCAGTGATCCCATTCCACCAGTACCATAGTGTAGACTAAGCTCTTAGGACATGTTTATCTTATCTGTGGTGATTTTAATTTTTACCTGGTAACATTAGCCGACTGCATTCTGAGGCTTCAGTCACTGGAAGGAGCGACAAGCAAGTAATGTCTTTGGCTTCTGATTCTACCAGCCCCTGTCCCAATGGGATGGACGTATTCTGAACAAACTGTACCAGGAGCTGGGGGGTGGCGGAGAGACAACATTGAAAAATACAGGTTGTTAGAGATGGATCTAAATCTCTGAATTTACCAAAAGCTGATGACGTAATTAAGTCTTGGTTGTTCACTAGTCTCAGCCATATTCACAGAAAAACTAGATTAACTACAAAATAATATTTAAAGCTATTTTTATTAAGTCCTCTGTTTTAGAGAAAGGCTGAATTACACAATTAAGTTAACCTCTGTAACCGTCCACCAAACAGAGAAACGATAAAAATAATTAAATTTTTAAATAACAGCTATAAAAAAATTCCATTGCATTGCACTGATTACATTTTAGAAAGCACTTTTCTGTGTATTGTCCCTTTTAATCCTCACTGCAACTCAGTAAGACTGAACATGTATTTTTAAAATAAGGAATCAAGTTAAAGACATTAAATAACTTGTCTAAGGACATGACTAGTTTGGAGCAGTATCAGTCTTCAAACTTAATCTATGCAACACAGATGTACTAAAAATAAAATGAGAAAAATAAATAAAAATGCTTAAATCCTCTAATCATATTTAGAAAGAAAATACTTCCAGATATATACAAGGTTATTACAAGAATGGTTCGTGGTAGCAAATATTTACATATGTATACACATATACATATATATGCCATATATATATAATACAATTTTGTCATTATGTAATTACCTAGATGTATAATAATTTTACACTTCCTTAAATAACAAATATAAAATTAATAAAAGGTAAAAATAGAATTTTTAAATCTTTGAGAACATATTTACTAACAGAAAAATAATAAAGTAGTAGTTACAACCAAAACCACATGGCCCACAAAGCCTAAAATTTTACTATCCAGCCCATTACAGAAAAAGTTTGCTGACCCTTGAACTAAGGACAAACTCTGGACTACAGCCCAACAAAATAAAGGAAACAAGCTGGCTGGGCTCACCTCTGGTTTGGATTCTAACTCATCTGATAACATTGATTCAGCTTCCAAATCCTGTAGCTGTTCAGGGGACAGGTTAAAAATTTAATTCAGAGTCAATGACACCTTCCTGTTATGATTATATTCCTCTAGGAAATGCTATGGTTTTCCTGTAAGATGCTGTGCTGGGTAGGCAATCAATTTAGCCTAAAATAGGAAAAAGAGAGAAAGAGAATTAAGAGCAGAGGAAAAATGTAGCTAAATAAAAAAAGGCACTTCTTTATATATCTGAAAATCACAAGCAAGCAAATAAAGAATTCAGCCCAAAATACTTATTTTAAAATAGAACAAACTAAATAGGCATCAAAACCTATAAAAAGTTACACTTTCATACAGAACTTTTACTTTTAATAATCTATTCTAAGAAAATGTCTTAAATATGGGAAAAACAATATGCCCAAAGAATTTCACCTGATCATCTATGATAAACAAATGCAAGCAACATATAAATACACACATATATCCAACAATTAGGGAATGGTTGATTAAATGGTGTTGTCACTTAAAATTATGGTTACGAAAACAAGGCAACAACAAAGAAAAATGCTAATAACATGTTAAATTACAAAAACAAAATACAAGATTATAAATTTGCTAATATTAAAACTAGTTAAGATATGCATGGGAAAAAGTAACAGGAAATTCACATAGCTATGCTATATTGGGTGATAAGCTGGTGTGACTTTTTTTTCTTTTCTCAATTTCCCAATTTTTCTAAAATATAGAACAGTCAGCCAAAATTTAAACAGTATTTCCCCAAAGTAGTACTCTCAGGACCCTTATGCAGCTGTTTTCCCCACGTAATTTAAATTCCTACTTTCTTATAGCTTAATTTTTTTCCCAGGATTTCAGCAAGAGAGTCCACTTTATTTTGTACAATTGTTGCTAAAATTGGAAGCACTATTACATACAAAGTAATCATACAGTGTAACATGTACCCAAGATAGGAGTTTTCAATTGATACCAAGGTAGAGTGGAAAGTTAGAATAAGACAGACAGACTGAAATACTCTACAAAAAGGGCATTTAGAAGTACCTGAATAAACGTTTATTGTCCTGTTGGTTCCTCCCTCTCCCACTTGCTAGCTGCCAGAAATCCTCATTTCTCATCATAAAAAAATAATTTACAAGAAGTAAATGAAAGTGCTCCTTTTATTTTAGGTTTCCCACATGAAAAAAAGTATCCTAAATCCCTGACTTTTCCTTTCACATACATTTTTCTTATTCAAGCACTGTAATAGCTCAGTGTGGTTTATCCATCCCTCTTTTTACAGAGGAAGAAACCAAGGCTCAGTACATCACTTGCCCAAGTTATTAAGCTGCAGAGCCAGGACTCTCACCCACAGAACAGTCTGGCATGAACAGCTGGCATGAATAGTGATTATATCTCTCTAGGTTTGATCTTGAATCACCAAGGTTTAAGAATTCCTTTTCCTCAATTCCAGCTCATCTCAAGAAGCCAAGAAATTACCAAATGTTTGTTTAGGTTATCCTTAAGGTTCCTCCAACTCTGAGATTCCAGGATTGTAAAATCTCTAAAAAACTAAACAACTATTTACTGTCCTTTATATGTTAGGGTTTTTAGAAACTAATGGCACTGGCTCCAGGGATAGCTTTCTGATATCCTTACCTGATGAAAAATGAAAACAATGAAGCATATGAATATGTGCATTGAACAAGGGAAAAATCAAATATACCAGATCTTACACAATTTTGCAAAGTTGTAATAATTACTTAACTTAGAGAAGGGAGCTGCCACCTTTCTTATAGTTTAAGAGTCACCTCTAGATCACCATTTCCCAAGAGTCTATGGTTATCTATGACATCTTTTTATTTTAATGTTTTCATTTCAATGATAATCATAAAAAATTATCATAAAAAATTAACACAAGCATTTTCTGGAACAAATGGGTACCCATAATATAACTGAGTATTGCCATACAATTTTGGTGCCTAAGTTTGTAGTTTGTATGTGTGCTGTATGAACAAAAGAGAAAATAGCCAAATACAGCAGAATACTCAGGCTGACCTCAAAAGAATCTGTATTGGAGCGCTCAGCACTGTTATCAAGTGTATTGTGTGGATCTCATCTTTAACACAGCAACTTGCCATGTACATTACCTGGAAGTGTGATGGCAAATATGCAGTTAAATTTGTTTCCATTCCCAATTCTAGTTACCCATTTAACAGATTTTAAAAACTCCAGTGCAAATCTTTTTTTAAATAACAACTTCACTAAGGTATAACTCACATACCATACAATTCACTCATTTAAAGAGTACAATTAAATTGTTTTTCATATATTTACAGAGTTGTACAACCATAACCACAATCAATTTTACAACATTTTAATCACCCCAAAAAAGAAACCCTGTACCCATTAGTAGTCACTCTCCATTTCCTCCCAAACCCTTCCCTGACCAGGCCTATGCAACTACTAATCTACTTTGTGTCTGTATGGATTTGCTTATTCTAGACATTTCATAAAAATGGAATTATATATGTGATCTTTTGTGCTTGGCTGCTTTCACTTAGCATAATGTTTCCAAGGTTCATCCTTGTTGTAGCAAGTATCAGTACTTTATTTATTTTTATTGCCAAATAATATTCTACTGTATGGACAGACATTTTATTTATCAATTTATCAGTTGATGGACATTTGGGTTGTTTCCACAATTTGGTTATTATGCATAATGCTGCTATGAATATTCATGTGCTAGTTTTATGTAGACATATGTTTTCATTCTTTTGGTTATACATCTAGGAGTGAAACTGCTAGGTCATACGGTAACTCTATGTTTAACCTCTTGAGGAATTACCAGGCTGTTTTCCAAAGTGGCTGTGCCATTTTACAATCCCACCAGTAGTGTATGAAGGATCCAATTTCTCCACATCCTCACCAACAGTTGTCATTATCACAGTTGTCATTATCTGCCTTTTTTGTGTGTGTGTGAGGAAGATTGGCCCTGAGCTAACATCTACCAATCCTCCTCTTTTTTGCTGAGGAAGACTGGCCCTGGGCTAACATCCATGCCCATCTTCCTCCACTTTATATGGGACACTGACACAGCATGGCTTGACAAGTGGTGCATTGGTGTGCGCCAGGGATCCCAACC